TATGAAATTCATTGACGGGTCGCTCATCATCAATCATAAGGCTGGCGGTAGCGCGGTTAACTAGGAAGAGTAGCAGATAGGTTTAAGCGCAATTTGCTTTATGATTTTTATTTAGCTTATGCAGCCATTAAAAAAAACTCTGTGTGTGTGTTTATGTATTCCGTACAAATAAATTACGAAAACCCTTCGTGCGGCTATGGAAAGCAGCACGCAGCTTTCGCGGAAATATGATGTGTGTGAAGCGGTGCAAAAATAAATGCTGTTAAAGTATAGTGCTGTCGATTTACATATGTATATAAGCAGCTTGTTAAGTACAGGGTGGCTCAGTGTGAGGAAAAATATTAAATATGTTAGAAAACGTTAATTACAGCTGAATAAGCTATAATATCTTTCGTAAGTGAATTTTTTGTAGGTCAGCTTGTATGGCAGCTATATGCTATAGTGGTCCGATCTGCACAATTTGTTCGGAAATAGTATCGTTGGCTTGAAAAATACTTTATGACAATTTTCGTGATAGATATCTTTTCCTGAACATTACTTAATATTGAAGGAGCTTTCAATAACGTCCTGCCGGAAGCAGTCGTAACTGCTCTGGACAATCTTGGGGTTGAATGAAACCTCAAAGACTTCATTTGCAATCTTCTGGGCGACAAAGTGATGGAAGCAGAATGGAGCAACACACATGTCCGACGAAAGCTGATAAAGATGAGTTTTTCTCCTCTTCTGTGGGTTCTGGTCATTAACGATGTGCTAAAATCACTTGAGGATCATGGCTGTCGGATGATTGTTTAGGCAGACGATGTAGTACTTATGGTCAAAGGAGAGTTTCTGAAAGTGGTCCCATGGCTCTACTACACTATAATCAAGCAAATTATGTTCTATATAGTCTTTGGGTGAATGAGCTCTCTAGGAAAGACCACACTTGCAAAGAAACTTACAAAGAAACTCAAGAGCGTTCATCAGCATGTTTGGTACACTAAGGTCCAGTGCAATCACGGCGCTTAACGCCAACTTGCACATAATGCCCGCAGACATCGTAGGAAGACGTATGGCTACGAAAGTTGCCATCAGACTCAGAGAATTTGGTATTCTAAAAGAGCACGTGTCTGAACACTCGGAGCACTTGGATCATGGATTCGCCAAACCGAACTCTGGCAGCTTCTTCTCTAGCCATATACCAGCGAGGGAATTGTGAGTGGGCGTAAGCCGTTGGAGGAGACGTGAAATGAGCTTCTTGTGGATGGATCAAACCGTGCTTCGGGGAATTCAGCTTCAGACTTTTCGACTATTGCAGTGTTTTCCAAGCCGAGGTTCCAGCCATTAATGTAACATTTCACTATATTCACTGCACCTCTTCCAGAGTGATAACCATCCACTCAGATAGTAAGGCGGCGAACTCGAGTGTCATCGTGATAAGACAGGTCTGAGTGCCAGGCCGTAGCGGAATAGCAGAAAATTATAGAGCTAATAAGGTTAAAAAGAAAAGCAACCAGGAACCTTTATCAGTAGAATGGGAGCGGGTCGGTTTCCCTGTATAATTTATAATGTATCTGCGTTCTGATATTTGATAAAATATGTAATTTATTTTTTATGCTCAATTTTTATACATGTGCCCCTTGTATAGTATTATATTCCTTCCTAAACCTTCTCATAAGCATTAGTATCAATTTAAAAATGTTAAGCTGTTGCGACCATTTCCTCTTTTAATAAAAATAGACTTTCAAAAGAACAATTCAAATGCAAATTTTATTCATTTGTCTTTTATAAACAATTGGGAATTGTCAATTAGTTGCAGCGACAGCCAGCCTTAATTCATCTTACACCGCCCACACGGTTTGGCTTTGGCTTTGTTGTCATAAATCTAATATACCAAAAAGTGACAAAGCGTAAGCATATTTAGGCGGAAATATGAAAGATGTTGCTTGTAAAAATTCCGACAAATAATACGTATAAATAGACAATTACATACATTGTGCCAAAGAAGTACCGGCAATTTTTAAATAAAACGCAAAATATTAAATTATTTATCAATATTTATTTTGTCGCCTTCAAGGTAATCCCCTCCAGATTGCCCACAATTTTTCCAGTCCTCCAAACACTTTTAATAAGCACTGTTTGGGATAGTCTTCAGCTTTTTCAGCGAGTTTTGTTTTATCTCTTCGATAAACTGAAGTTTGGGGAACAAAAAAAAATCACACAGACTCCTCATTGACTGTCAGTCCGAAACAAATTCGTGATGCATAAAATCACAAATATCAAAAATCCCTCCAATTCGTTGATTGTGAATTTGTTTGCGTCCAAATTATAAATCAATACTCATCGGCGATATAATACTCCCGCATGATCAAGCATGTCCGAAGAGACCTGTTCAAAAAAGTTCTGCTTTATCGGGACCAGTCGAGCAAGAACGAGTTTAATACCCAAAATATTCACCAAATCATTGCAACGGAGACATCTCTCGTTGTTATCTCTCTAAAAATTGCCTGACGGTTTTCAAGCACCATATTCTTCACTATTTTAATAATCTCATCGGTTGAATAAGTCTAAGGTCGTCCAGAACGAGGCATGTCTTCAACGATCTCTCGACCATCTGTAAAAGCTTTGTACCACCACTGAGAACTTTAGCAATATATCATCTACTGGCCGAATTTAATTACGATTAACGTGTACTTTTATGTCACAATGTACGTAAAGTAAAGAACATTTTGTCATTCCTGTGAAAAGTTGGTGGTTGCTTGAAGATAAGAACCTTTGTTTATTCCGTCTCATTGTTTTCGCATCATAAGCCTGACAATGAATATTGTTCACGCGTGAACTCAAAAATATCTAGTCTACATACATATATACATAGAACATGGAATTATTCTTATTAAGGTCTAGTAGAAATAAATTTTTTTTTTTTTTGTTTTTTTTTTTTTTTCGCGCAATAAATGGAAGGTTTTATTTAGCATAGTTGTAAAGATGTGTTTTCGGTGAACCGTTTTTTAGCTAAATAGTGGCCATTTTGAAAGATACATCATATCATAATGCCATTTGTTCAAATGGGCAAAAAAAAAAAACAAAACAGAGACAGACGATTTTCTTGAGCTTCTTTTCAAGCGATTTTTTTTATTTAAAAAATCATTCATCATAGAACGAAATGTCTATGAATAACTTGGTGGCATGTCCAGTTTGCAAAATGGATGCGTATATACTTCCCAACCAAGACTCGATGCTGCTAACGGCTCATTTTCGACGTGTGTGGCCTGGCTTTGTCCTCATGGTACAACAATTTCCACCTCTTGGTCAAAGCTAGCCACTCCTGGACGAGTGATTCGTTCAGACGTTTGAATTGTTCACAGTACAGACCGAAGAATAGCCCATTAAGAGTAATCTCATAGTAGGTTATTTCCAGCAATCCCGTCTAACACTTAGCAAAACATTTCTAGTATGACCACCAATTGCGCCGACTCACCCCGACTCGACCACGATCATTTCCGCTTGGCGTTATTCAGTAGCGAACAGCTTCAGAAATGGATTGATTTTCTTGCGATTTACCATCTTTATGCTTGTAAATTTTTCTACTCCAGCTGCCCAATGTCTTTTAAGTTAGAGCATTGGGAACGGTGGCATTTATCCGACTCATTCCGCTGAAGGGTGGGCGTTCGCATAAACAAAGTTCCAATGCCTCACCATCGTACGCCCATGTTGTGCATTTTGAATATTCCTGAAGGCGTGATCTTAAGTATAGATGCCTGTGATAACCCCTATAATATTACTAGTTGAAGAAGTTGAAGCCTATTTTCTTTCCACCATCAATACTATCTCAAAGTAACTTTCTGTTACACCGTGTGTTGATACAATCCAAGACCTAAGATATTTTCCTAAGGTCTATTATTTCAAAGAACTCTTGAAAGAGCTGAAAGTTCTGGGACAGTTTAAAGGAATTGTGTTCCCAGCTGCCTCCGTTTGTGCCTACTGATCTGCCTTTTCACTTCCTTCTGCTCTTATATGACTGGGAGTTACCTACTGAGAGTCTACTTAGAGCTTGATTTCTTAACTGAACCCAGTGAGAGTTAGTATTGGCTTGTGGATAGCTTCATCTGCCGCTTGGCTAAGCACCAGGAAGCGCACTTGGCACGTTCTATTGTACCAAATATTTCCACCTGAAAGACTGAATTTTAGTAATTTAATTTGAGGCTTCCTTATATGTATGGATTACTATAAAAGAAGGCCGCTCTTGTTCCTATTTCACACTTCCATCGTATAATATGTAGGTTCTGCCTTTGCAACTATCGACCTCAGCGTCATTGTTCCATTCCGCTCTACTGGGAAATGAAAATGTTGAGTTTTATTCCTCACGGATTTTTCACGGTTATTTTGCCTGTTTAGTTCAAGTTCATTAACAAGGTAAAACAAGACGGGTTTCTATTCCTAGAATCACTCTTACTAAAAACTAAAAAATCGTCATCTGCTACACCATGGTCGAAACTACGATTCCCACGGCATTGGCACTGGTCCATTCTTCTCTAATGGGAAATGTAAACGTTGTTTATTTCCTCTTGGATCTACCTTTCTTGGTTACCTACCCAAATTTATACCGAGTTCGTTAACAAGGTCGAGCTGTAGTGATGTCGAGTTTGGCTCCAATGGCCCAAAGTCGTAAGTGGGTTGGCCGTAAGCAATTTCCCATAATATTTTTATTCGCCGGATATCGAAGAAAACATCCAAAACCTTTGTTGATATAGTTTTCATTATGCCCGTAATCCCCAGCAAACAGGCCCGTTGCAGCTATTGAAGAGGTTTAATGGGCGCTTTTTTGAAAATGCCATTTATACATAATACTGCATCTTATGTTAATATAGGTTAAATGACACATGTGTAACCCAAAACCACTGAAACACAATTTGTATATTCATCATTTTCGTTTTATTAATGAAATATACCAATCAAGAATCACAGAAATGTAAAAACAACACAACGATAAGAATAAAAGTTCGACTTAAAAATAACTGTTAAAATTAATGCCAATGAAAGATCACATGCGCAATCATCAAATATATGGTAACGCTCGTCATACACACCAACATAATGGGGAAACCGACCTTGCAATAGTAGAGGAACGGAAAATTATAGCCATGTTTCTCCGCCAAGCCGGCGCATATGACATTTGCAAAGGTACCGATTATAGTACCCATACAGCCCAAGCCGGAGCCCAATATTACAGCCCAAATGAGCGGCTGTAGCGGCAGCTGTTCCTCTTCGATATCTTCCACGGCCACGGTGACGGCACGTAACATTAATGAGGTTACCGACGGATCGGTAAGAAAAGCGGCACAAAATGCCGACCACCATACGGCTATCAGAATGCCGACAACTAAGCGCGCATTCGAACTGCTGTAACTAATAAGATTGCCCGTAAAATTGCTAATCGCATCGAATAGGCCCATCTGCGATGTGGCCTCAGAGAATACAATGACGCAGGCGAGAAAAAGCATTGTCGACCACTCAATGCGACCGAGTATGCCATCGAAGTCCTCATTGTCGGCCAATATGAGCAGCAGTATGCAGCCGAGCAGCGCGGTCCAAGCCGTAGATAGGAAATGCAAATTCGGCACGAGATGCAGTATGATAAGTGAAAAGACGAAAAACAAGACAATGCAGCATTTGAACAGGAGCGCCTTTTCGGTAATTTTAAATTCCGTTTTAAGCGCCTTCACCGTTTCCTTGTAGTCCGGCGGTGGTGCTGGCATCTTACCAATACGTTTCAAGCGTCTACGCAAACGTCGTACCTTCGACAAGACTGTATCACGCATAGCCTGTTCATCTTTCGAATATGGACTAATACTCTTGGCGGTGCGTGACCACACCTTAATTACGCGACGCAATCGCTCAATCTCGGCACCATCCTTATAACGCATCGTATTCGAGTCGTGATATAGTATGCGCATATATAGGTAGGCGCTTGCTCCCGCTATCAATGTACCAGGTAAAACGTGTTCGATGAAAACATAACCGTCGATGCCCTCGCGCCGTAAAACCTCATGCGCCAAGACATATTCACTCGGTGTCATGCCATTTGGCGTCAGAGTGGCGCCAACATTCGCATAGATAATCAGGCAGGAGAGCAATGGCATCGGATTGAGTTGCATGAGTTCGCAGACACGCATCGTTATCGGTGCAATCAATAACATCATCAGTATGTTATCGAGTAGCGATGAGAACACCAAAGTGATCAGACACAAGCAGTTCAGTATGGGCCAGATATGACCATTCGAGATCTCGTAGATGCGTACGGTGACATAATCGATAATGCCCGTCTCTGCTAAGATGGCAATGATGAGCGTCAAGCCGAATAGCTCGAGTAGTATTTCAAAATCAATCCAATCGATGATGGTGCGCAACGAAGGTCGCAAGTTCAGTAGCGCCAGCAAGGATATAGCGAGCGTACAGAAGACAATTATTGCCAGCGCACGATGCACGATATCAAGCATCAGCAGAAAATATAAACCAACTATAAGTAATAGCGCAACAATAATGCCAACTTCCAAGTTGATCGGCGACGGCTCATAAAAGAACTCCAGAGACAACGGTTGCTCTATATTGGTGATCATGCTGATTTGCAACTTTTTGCTACCCTCCGCAGACATATATTGCAAGGCGAACAGTTTTTTACGTTCCACAATATGTATATCATCCAAATTCTTAGTGTCTGCCAAATATAACACCCACGGTTTGGTGGCTTCATGTCGCTCTTCACCAATCATTTGTAGCAGCTGTATAGTCAGTGTTTTCTCTTTGCCCGCCAGTTTTTTCAACTGATTCTTGGAGAGCATTATAAATGGTCCGGTGGCGGTAATGAAAAATCCATTCGATAGCGACTCTTCGGGCACATGGAAAACCTTCTCTGTGCCATTGTTGACGCATATGAAATTGGATTGTGGATGCTCATGTTCGGGTTGAACCAAAAGCAAACCCGTGAATATAAACCAGATTGTAAAGAGCACAACGATTTTAGCGACTTTCACAAATTGCGCGTGCTGTTGCTCCCTCGCAGTACGTAATTCAAGTACCTCATCTTCCTCGGCCGCCGAAGAGAATGATGTCACACTTGGTTCGGATGGAATATTTGCTGCTCCAGCGTACAAACGCGGTTCCCGTTCTTCACCAAAAGACACCGCTCTATGATTGCTGCTTATGTTTGGACTGCTAGGCGACGCAGTCTTTTGTGTTGTGCCTCCAGCTCCTTTGAAAGTGTTGCGGCGTGTGCTATCGGCACGCCACTCAACGTACTCTGCGTCTGATTCCAGCGAGTCATGTTCATCCGTGTCGAGGCTCCACATCGACGCTTTTGACATATCGTGACGGGTGTCCACACAGGAGCGCTGAATATTTAAGTTTTGAAAGTTTCTAATGATATTGTAGAAGATTTAAAAAACTTTCTGGTTGATTTTCCGTTCTAAATTTTTGTTTTCACTTTGACAGTGAATAAAAAGTATATACGATTAATTATTGCATAAGCGCAATGGGGATAAAGTAGTCCATATTTATCGTTTAACGAAATAAAACTGCGCTAGATAGTATTGCTGACATTGAGTTCTGCAACAGACATTCAAAGCTTTTTAGTAGCAAAAGTTATGCTATCAAGGTAGCAATGGGTCTGCCAAGTGACAGATAGAGAGAGAACGAGATAGTAATAGAAAGAAAGGGAAAGAACGAGAAAGAGATAGAGAGAGAGAGAGAATAAGAGAGGCAGCGATGTTAATGACCTAGTGAATGGACGTAAAAATTTGCCTTTCATCCGGCACTGCAACAAGCGCTTTCTTACCTTGAATTGAGCACAGTAAGTTTGCCATGAAGTTTGTAATAGCCAAAAGGAAGTGTCGAAAACCCCAAAAAATTTATATACGAGTATAAATATTTAGCTTTGTCGGTCTATCCGTCTGTCCATCTGCACGTATATACGCTAACTAGTCTCCGTCTTTGAGTCCTCAATCTGCAATTTAGCAAACGTACTTCTCTCTCCAAGAACCACCAATATAAGATGACTATAGCATAGAGCTGACATACAAACTAATCGATCGGAATCAAGTTCTTATACTGAAACTTCTTTATTTGTGAAGGGTACTTTTACTTCGGTGCAGACTTGGTTAAATTTTTTTATTTATCTATATCTGTAACGTTATGACTACATATATCAACAGAAGTTGCAACCAACTTAAGTGCATTAAATAAACCGAAAATAATATGCTTCAGACTTTAAAATATTCCACTTGAACGCCAACGAAAGACACAGGAACAAGCAAAACTCCAAATGCTGCATAGCAGGGTTGGTCAATTCTCTTTCCATAGTATGAGCTTTAGGTTGCCCCAAAAATAAACTTAATATTGAATTTAAGGGTAATTCCCTCAAAGTGAAGTTTTTTATTTTAATTTTAATGCCCCATAGCATAGTGTAAAATTTAAAAAAAAAAGGGTTTTGAAAAGTAAAAGAATAAATAAATAATATGTGGACGTATAGATAATTTCAATCGCAAATAAAAGATTAATTCATAAAAATAAATACCTTCTTTAAATCAAGATTATAAATTATACAGTTTTTAGTTAGTTGCGGCTTTTAAATATTAGGAATAAATTGATTAAATTTTTTGGGATTTTATGCTAGGTTGTGAAAATTTTCAATTGATAAAATAAGTAGAAAGTTTTTAAAAAATGTTAAGCTATGCCATGGAATTATTGATTTCACAAAAAGCCCTTCAAGTTTGTTTTCAAATTCTGCGCTAATAACCATAACATTTTTAATGACAAAATATCCCTTGAGGAAATTTTTTAGGAAATTTTACCTTATCAATTTTTTGAGTTGTCCCAAAGGTATATTGCTAAGAATTTTTAAATAGCAAAAAGTATTTTATACTATGTTAAGATATTTGTGCAATTGTAAAACATCCTTTGAAAAAAAATTTTAGGGAAATTTTATGCCATAATAGAGAATTTTCTATTTGTAGGAAAACGCTCGAAGAATATATTTTGAGAAATTTGATGCTATGTTAATAAGTTTTTAAATTACACAGGATATCTTTACATATGTAGGTAAACTTTATTTGCAAATTATGTTCTAAAAGTTTTGATGGACCCAAAGGTGTATTCCATGAGGAAATTTTAATTGACAAAAAATCCGGTGCAGTAAAGTTATTTTGGGAGATCTTATGTTTAGGAATACATATTTTGAATTGACCAAATATCCTATGAAATAAGTTTTTTAAGAAATTTAATGTAGGTTTAGAAATATTTTCATTTTAACAAAAAACCCTGAGGAAAAAAATTTTTTTTGGGAAATTTTATACTTTGTTATGGATATTTTCGATGAAAATATATTCTTTCAAGTAATTTTTATTTTGGGAAATTTTATGTTACAGGAATTTTGAATTGACAAAATATATCTACATAACATATATTTATAAGAATTTGTTTTTAAAACCTCTGATGTAGATTTTTTTTGGGAAATTTTCTGCTACGTTATGGAACTTTTTGCAATTGACAAAAAATCCCTCGAGGTAAAAATTTTGAGAATTTGTTTACTAATTTAAATAACTTTTGAAGTGAAAATAAATATCCTTTGAGGTATTTTTTGGGAAATTTTATATTACGAAATATCCCCATAAGTATATTTTGGAGGAAAATTTTTTAATTGACAAAACACCCTCTTAAGTATATATGTATGTATATTTTGGGAAATTTTGTGTTTTGATATGGAATTTTTGTAATTCACAAAAATATCCCTTCAAGTAAAATTTTAATGAAGTATGTTACGTAGCATATGAAATTTTGCGATCGACAAAAAACCCCTAAAGTGAGTAGTTTTCAGTGACAATATATCGCTTCAGGTTAATTATTTTGTACAATTTTACATTATGAAATTTTTCAATTGACAAAATATGCCTAGGTACTAATTTTTTACTATCCACAGACAAACATCCATTAAGGAAAATTTTTTATGGAAGTGTAATGCAATGTTGCTTACTTTTGAATTGTGAATTAGATACTTGAAGACATCTTATGCAATGTTATATAATGTGTATGATATTTTACAATTTGGGTAAACAATTCAACTTCCAAGAATATTTTTTATATGGTGTTAGTCCGTATATTTATTATTATATTATTTTTAGCTCACCCTAATATGCACACATGCATTCTCTTATTTTTACATTTTTATCATATTTATTTTGCTTTCATACTTCAAATTGCAGCACTTCAAGCGCTTGTAATGACGCTCTCTGCACTCAACACCTCAAAATAAACTTTGACACTTGTGCGCGCGAAAACACTAAGCGCCAACACGTGTGAATTTTCGTTTCAGATCACTTGGATCCACTCCACCCCGCCGCCAAACACCTTTTCTTGGTCACTGCGGCGAGCCAAACAGAAGCTGCAGCCGCCACAAATGCTGCCAACCCAAATGGGATATAACTTGAACACCTCAGCTTACACGTTACTCATACACACACACAAAAGCACACGCATACTGGTACACTTGAATACGCAAACAGCACTTCCGTGGACGCGTCAATTTGCATGCAATCCGAGTGGAGGTAAATGTTTGCCTCGGTGTGTGCGTGTGAGAGTGTGTGGGCATGTGCCGAAACTCATCTCAGCCAGACTTGCATATTTATCACATTTTTGGGCGCTTTTTTCGACACCCTCTCATATTACTGAGGCACTCTCAGTAAATAAAGTGCTAAGCGCTTCGCTTGAAAAGTGTTTCGCTTGTGTTCAGCGCGCACAAAATAGGGAAGTGGTTGTGTATACTCTTCGTGCCTTATGCTAAAATTTGAATACACATCTACATATATATTGTGCTTTTATACAATGTAGTCATGAAGCATCGTTTGAGCAACGCTATCACCATTTTAATATATCCGTGGCATTAGATAGCATTATTATAGATCTGTAGGTGTCTTCAATTTTGACTTTTAATATTCCAGAAAGAGATATTTTCTGGAAACTGATATAAGTTGGTAGAACGTTGTCACCAGTAAACCATGTGACACGAGTGAGTATAAAGGACAAGAGAAAGAGGGTAGACAGATTGCCGCCGCAACTAGCAGCTTAATGTCCTGATGGCCTCTACGACCCAGGCATGGCGGCACCGCTACAGCATAAGCGGTATTTAAGGCACCTTCAGTAGGAAAGCACTCCGGAGGAAGCATAGGAAGTTATATCGAAACCGGATGAGAGCAACACCTACAATGTTTCTCCTGCCTCTATGAGACTATAAGGAGACAATACTGCTTCTGCTGTTAAACGGACCATTCCTAGAGCTAATTGAATTAGTAAACATCACAATGTTGGATATGCTAACTCTCAGTAACAAGCGCAACCGTGATTGAGTTTCTGCAAATTGTGGTGACAGTCGACCAGGGATCATTGGTACACACCGGGGGCCAAGGAATAGTGGAAATAATGAATTTCACTCGGTTAGCATGTTTTTATAGGCGAACCTGTTCTATACTCAGAAAAGGTGTTCTGATATTAATATGGCATTACCTACATCGACCTCCGGTAGAAGTTCAAAATGGTCACTAGAGTTTAGTAGGCCGAATTATTGGCTCGAATAAATGCAGAATTACAACAAAAACTACGCTTCATAAGGCGAAGAAAAAATGTTAATGATTTATACTCAATAACATGCGTGTTTAGGATATTTTAGTTTAGGCTAAAAAGTCGATCTCACTTGAACAGCTTAAAACGCTGATCTGATGTGGCGCCTAAAACTGTTATATAATAGATCGTAAGAACCTCACAAATGAACAAACGCTTATAGCTTATCACAAATTTGTGCACCGAAGATAAGACTACCGAGAAGAAAAATGGAGAAGAAGCTGCCTAGACGTTTTTACCCACCACTTACTTACATCTGGCTAGAATTTTGGTCTTACCACATGAGACCACCTGAGTGCCTTTTGGACCATGTTCAGTAAGAACAAGAAGAACTTTGCTGAGGGAAAGTAGATCTCCTGCGCTCTGCTCTAAGCTAAAAGGATCTTGAAGCTGCACAGTAGCAAGTCGTCGACTAGCGCTTACTCCTGCTCGGAACCACTCCATTGTGAGCAGGATATGGGTATCTCCTTTGGCTAGCTTGAGTCCGATGATGGAGTAACTTGATGCCATCTCTAGTGAGGACAGACGCTCTTTGACTAGCTTTGTGTACACATTTAGCAAGGTCAGCGCTAATGTTGCCGCCCTACTGTCGGTGTGAATGCTCACTTCCCAGATAAAGGCTGCATAGCGGAATCCCTACTGCCATCTTAATACTGGCAACTTTGCTTGAAAAACAATACATTCAGTCAGGTAGCCT